TCAAAATTTTAATCTTAGGGAAATTCTGAAGAGTAAGATTGCTAGCACAAAAATGCCTGACTACTAGCTCCAAATTTCTAAGACGACCTTTCCTTAATTAATTTTATCTCCACTGAAAGATATTGGTTGTCAACATCTACTAATAAGGCAAGAAGGATTTTAAAAGTTCCATCAAGTAAGTTTAAAATAAGATATTTTTCATTTGTAGGTTTCCATTTAAAAGTCTTGTATTATGTAGCTCCAAATATGACACTAGACACAGAAATGGCTTTGGCCAAAAGACCTAAGAGCACACCACGGTAAGGTGCACAACTAGGAGCTGTGCAGCAACAAGAAAACAGTACTATGTTAACAACAAAGAGAAAAGTTAAGACTACAGAATTAAAAGTCCCAGGCCTCAGCAAATATATATAGTGCCTTTCGTCTAAACTCTTTCCTTAGTGGTTCTTCACATTTCCTCATTTGCTAGCTTACTACTTTACTGTGCTAAAACAATATATCTTTTTGGGTCAGGGATAAAAAGCGGTAAAATGTCTATTTTAGCAAACTAAAATGGTCAAGAGCAACATGGTGAATTCTTATTTGTTGAGCTGGTAAGAAAGTTTGTTTGGTTTCACAAGCACAGCAGCACCATGCTGTGTAGTAGACAGATGCTTTTAGCACATAAGCTGCCTTCAGGATACCCTCTTGGATGAGAACTGATTTGCATACCACCAAGTCTATGCTTAGAGTCTGCTAATAGCTGATTTTGATCAGGGTGCCAATGGGCAAGAATCAGCATAACAGAAAATAAGAGCTACAAAAGATAAAGTGAATCAGAAACGATTTTCAGAAGTTCCTTTTTGGTAAGGTCAATGAAGCTATCTTTTCATTAGGAAGTGATTTGAACTTAATCGTTCACAAAATTCAAAACCTGCCTCACTTTTTTCTCTAGTAGGGCTGACTGAGGCCTTTGTGGCAAAGTAGATTTCTGCTGAAAAGCACCCGTTTTATGAAAAAATATTAGTGTTTTCAACACCTGCCTGCAGGGGTGCCAAAAGTTCAAGTGGTAGCAGCTCCATGTCAGCCCTCCCATATGAATGGGAAGCACACAGCTTCTAAATCAGTTTCACCGATGTTACTCAGTTGTGAAGACCCATAAAACTGAAAGAATAAGTTCAGTCACTATTCCCGAGGTCTCTGAGAGCATTTTCATTGATAGCTTCGTACTTTGGTGTTATCTAATATGAAGCAACTTCTGTTCTGCAGAAAATCAGGGAACTGGGTTTTAAAATTTGCAAGAAAACTGTCCTCCAACCTGAAGACTGTCTATTTTAGCGCACATTCTAGATGTAGACTACCCCTCAATTGGTAGAAAAAAATCATACTCTTTACCAAAGCGTATGGTTACCCATCATGGCAAAATCTATGGAGTTTAAGTTGTAACTGTGATTTAAGAATGAAATTCCAATTTGTCATTAGTAGTTATAATTGTGGTGTATTTGGGTATCAGGGCTGTGCCTGCGTGTACACACAGTGCACTTAGTCGTGAATTCCCTGGGTGGCCCAGGAACTCCCCAGCTAGTACCTTCACAGATGAGATAATGGGCTAATGGGGAACAACGGACCAGCTTGAGAAGAGGCTGCCTTCCACCTTCACAACAAAGTGCTTCACTAATTATTTCAGGAGCTGTCCAGGTGGGACCTTCAGACGGTCAGAGGGATGCCTGCAGGCAGCTCTTGCTGGGCCAAGAGCAATAGACAGACACTACTCGTATGCTTCAAAGTGCTGATTAACATCCTGAGTGGACAATCTTGCCAGAATAAACTAGAAGAATAGTTTGGGGAATTCTACCAATTTAAGCTGAAGATGTCATGCAAGGATGCTTGTAATGGAGACTTGCATTGCCATCCTGTTCAACAGATTTGACTCCTCAATGTGAGCATTACCTTATGCAAAGATTCTTATAAGTTGATGTTGTAGGCTTCTTGTGGTGTTTTTTTTAATAAACACACTCTAAGTGTCTGTGCCACACCATTTCTCAAAATGTCAAAGATGTAGAAAAGTGAGGCTGAGTGAGGAGAGACTTTAAAATTCAATCCTTTATCAACAATTTACATTGGGACCCTAAAATGCAGTCAAGAATTTTACATACTGAAAAATTTGGAGGATGTTCATAACCCTATCCTTGACTCCTCTGCAAGACTTTTCCCAGCCAATAATGAGAAAGGGAACAATTTTTGTTTTCCTGCTCCCATATTTTGTTTTCTTAGATTTTGACAGCAGAGATTTAATTCATGAATGCAAAATATTCTCTCTTTATGGCACTAATTTTGTTATTGCAACAAACATATTTCCAAGAAAACAATATCACAGGTGGTGAAATTGATAATTTGTGCCAAAGGCTAAGGCCTTGTCTCTACTAATAAAAATAAAAATACTAATCTACACTGAGCTTTCACTCCTCCTATGACCAGAAAATCTGCACCAGTGAGGAATCATATTTATGAGGTTTGCTAGCGCAGATGCAGTATACAGAAAAGAACGAACACATTTTCGTTGTTTTCCAGGTTAGTTTGCTAACTGTACTATGAACCCATATGTCTGGAACCTAAACTTAAAAAGTACTAAGCCCCCTTTACTTCAACAAATCTTAGGTGAGTCTGACAGCATGTATAACCTGACTGGCAAAAGAAGAAAATGAGCAGTATAAGTACCCTCACAAAGACCTTGATCACCATTGTCTTACAATGCTCAACCAAGGGAAATTTTAACATTGAGCTTAACGTGAAGTTCATATACTTCTGTTTAAACACAGATTAGGATTTCTGACAGACAAATGCCACTGAAAAGCTGACAATCTAATTAATACAAATAACTATCTTCCCCACTACAAAAATGCTCTGTATTTTAATAGTTCAATTCTGCTGTGTAGAAACGAATATGATAACATATGTTTTCTGCAATCCAAAAAGAAGTCACGGTTATTTTTTCAGGTTGCGCAATAATTTTTTCAATGGCTATATATGCCATAAAATAATTATAGTATCATCAAATTGAAACTGAACTGTTCTTTCGACATTTTACTTCTTCACAGAAATAAAGAAAAAACCCACCCTGTTTCATAACACAGTCATCCTGAAACATACAAAGATTTTCTTACCCCAAAGATATGCAGGTATACAGAGTACAGCTGGGAGCCTAAGTACTTACAGGGGAAAGTGAAGTTGTACAGGTGCCCACATACTCATTTATTCTGACTACCTCTAGCAATGAAGGAGTTGCCTCTGGGCTACTACTCCACATTCCAGTCTGATAGATGGTAATTTTGACCTCACCTCCCACAGAACCACAAGGCAAAGTTGGAAGTCATTTCCCTGCAAAAGAGCTACTGTGCTCCTCCCCATGGAAGAAGGGGAAAAAGAAGCTGACTGTGACAGAGACTCAGCCTGGTGATTGCCCTGTTCTTGGAGCATGTTTCTTTTTATCCAGTCAAGAATGAAAATTGCAATTCTTCTCATAAAAACTAATCTCTCCAAAAGTTTCATGTTGCAGAGTAAGAGGAAAACAAATTGAAACGACCAATGCCTTTTCTGAGGTCTGATCTCATGATGTTTCTGTGTCTTCAGAGCACCTGTAAACATAATGGGAATCATGGGACGAAGTGTGTGCAGTACAAGGCAAAAATCCAAACTCTGCCACAAAATCCAAAATCTGTAACGTAAGGTGAAAATGCAGTGTCTTCATACTGCATTTGACAGACCACCACAATGGGCGCTTAATCTAGTGGCTGCCCGTAGGTGCTACTACAACAGAAAGGTTTAAGAACAAAAGACACAAACGAGTTTTCTGTGTAGCTGGAATACCAAAGACAGTCTTCAGTTCGGTTCTAATTGTCTATGTGGTTAATGTATACTTCATTAATTTAATAACGGTCACTCCAGTATTACAGTAGGGATTAGGATGACATTTTTTCCTGTAATGCATCACATGACTTCCTGGGACTGTCAAATAATTTTTCACCATCAGATTATCAGAGACTGGAAATGAGACTGAGCTTTGGGGGTTGATGCTCTGATGTGGGTTCAGCTAATGCACTGTTTTATCTAGCTGAGGTGTCTAGCTCATTGGCTCAGAATAGTGCTATCACTGGGTTTTCTTCCAATTCATACTGGGAAGAACCTAAGATTTTGGCAGAAGGAGAGCGAATTTCTTAGCTTAATTTTCCATTCTTTTTTTTTTTCCTTTTTACCAGATAGAGTAGTTTAGCTATTAAGATACCTATCCATCGAACAGCATACGTTGATCTCTATTCTCTACCTACAGTGCAAAATTTTGCTTTTGAGAACTTAATACCTGGTTTAATTCAGGTCTTTGTTTCACCTCCTCATAACCAGTAACAGCTCTTGGAAGAATTCAGTGAAAGTCTCATAAGGTTTATCAAATGTTTCTCAATCTATAATTCTAGCCTGTAATATATTCAGAAGATTATTCATCCAAGTGTTTTCTACTTCCACCCAATGTTTTAGCTTTTTGCACAAGGTTAGTGACAGTTGTATTCATTACACAACAGAAATGCACATCAAGTAAAATGACTGAAATAATTATTTCAAATACTTATTTAAATTATTCCGTACTATGTTAAAACTGTGGGAGAGAGAATAAGAGTTCCTTACTAGTAAGAATTTTGTTACTGTTACAGTGTAGTAAAAATTCTAGAATAATCAGCAGAAAAAATATTATCCTTTCTCCTTTTGCTATTGCCATTTTCTTTCAGTTTTGGAGATAATTCTGAATTGCAATGTAATTCTGGCTTTTAATTTAATTTTTTAAAATCTATCAGTATGTTTTTCAACTACAGAAAATAATTTGTTGGTATTTTCATTAAAATAAACTGCAATGCTGCAAATCTTACATTAAAATATAGATGCACACTAGTAATTAAAAAATAATAATCAAATAAAAAGCACAGCAGAACACTTCATTTACTGATAGTAATCATAGTATAAACTTGTCCTACCAAGTGTGTCTCCAGGTACAGTTTAAGGCTGTCTGTCTCTGCTTTAGGAGGAGTCCAATTCTCTGTTGTTTCCATGGCTTCATTTAACCAGTGAATGAATTCATCCAGCTTGCTTACAAACCCCTTACCAGATAAGAAAAAAGAAAGAACAAGAAAAGCATATTTGTTAGTAAAATGGCAATCTGAAAAATGGCAATCTGAAAAATGTATGCTCAATTTTTTTTTTAAGCCAGGAGAGTATTGTAGAGTAAAATTTTGCCTTTTACAAGCACGCAAAGAAAAAAACAATTAGCAAGTTGCCTTCCAGTAAATGAGGAGCAGAATGGTGTTTCTGGGGATAATCTAAGGTGATATTTTGGGACAGGACAATGTGAGATCCATACAACTGTGATGAAATTGAGAAAACAGCAAAGTTTTAGAAGATATGAGGGGGATATATAAAAAGCTGCATATAGATTGCAATGAAAATTGAGCTGAAGACCTTGCACTGGGCAGACTGAGTGTAGCATGAGCACTGTTGGTTGAAAAAAGTGCTGGACAAAGCTGCATTAACAAGGTATACATCAGTAGACTGAGGGAAGAAACTACTTGTCAGAACTTGGGTCTCGTAATTCCTGTTTTGGTTCATAGGATGAGACTGAGAGAGAAGAAATCAAACAGTAGGTGAGGCAGAATATATAGCATTTAATATAAATATTGCTGATTGCATATGAGCCACACAGATGGTGCTCCTGAGAAGACAAGAGCTCCTGCTTCTCAGGAGCACCGTTTATTTCAAGATTAATACCAATTATATTGTCTGATTAAAAATAGTGCCCCTGAATTTACATGATTGGATGATCCTATAGGCACATACTGAGCACAGATAATTTTACCGAAGTCTTATCCACCACAAAGCAAGAGAGTAAATGGAATAAACTGACCGTGATGTTTATATGCACCCTGAAAATTAACTCTGAAGAGGAATGTCCATCTATTACAAGCATCATGAGACTAGATTAAGTTAGGTCTAATACTGGTTATATTATTAGTTATTAACTGTTAATTTCACAGCATGGTGAGAATTTTATTTTCCAGTTGGATAACAACTCGGTATACACACTCAGTATCTCACTCTCACCACTTTATTTATGGAATGATTTCTGGCAATTGTTCGTCCATTCAGACAGCTAAAAGCAAGCTAAGCATAAAACTTTTAAAGATTCCTGAATGACTCAGGAGCCCAAATTCCCTTCTCCGAAGTGGCACATGAAATAAGAATTCTAAACAAGACAGAAACAGGAGTTTGAGCAGTTGGTGCACAGCTGCATTACGTAAAGAAATGCAATGGTAATAACCCAGACCAAGCAGAGCCACACTTCCTTCAAAATTCATGGTAACAGAGTCATTTTGGCCCAATGCTATGCCAAGAAGCAGAGTCCAATAATGCTCCAGTGCATACTGCAGGCATGACAGCACTCACTGACGCACCCTGAAGACTTTGTTTTAATTATTATTTTTTACATGAGTCTCTACGAGTCCTCAGGATGAGGAGGCGGCTATTGCCATCTCTATTCGTGGAATTCACTGTATCTCAAAGCATTATAAGGAAGAAAACTGTTATTCTGCAGGTTTCATTGTAGGCTGTTTATCAGGACATTCCAGAAAGGGGAAAGGAAGACAGGAAAAACAACCCAGTGGATATGGGGACTGAGACAACATGCCTCCACTCTGGGGCAAGTAATGAAGGTAGCTGCATCTCCTCTCTCCCACAGCAGGCCACGCCACGAGGGCTATATTCCCCATGTCAAGCCATGGGACAGAGGGGGGACAATGTTCCCCTGGCTCCGTTGCTTGCTTTCTTCCAGCTTGCAGTGGAGCATAAGAGATGCCAGACTGGCAGAGGAGTGGGAGACGTGAGCTGAGGGGGAGAGGAGCAGGAGGAGTAAAGTCCTTCTAGTCCCTCCAATAAATCTCTGCCTGCATTTTAGCAATGTGTTGTCCTTGAGAGACAAGGTGATATGGTAAGCACAAAAAAATGAAGAAAGGCTCTCTCTTGTATATGCGTCATGTACTTTACGGAGACAGACACGTATAACATCAGCCTGCAGTACTCGATGTCTGTATGCCTTCAAAAGGGTGTTCAGAAACATTGCAGGCTTGCACCAGTATAAAAAGCAACTACTAGCAACCGAGTTACTTCTGCCCTCTCGCAAAACGTGCCTGTGTTTTAATGTCTGCTACTTCACGTTGGTGCTTAGAAACTCCCAGGCAGCAGGCTCCAGCAGCCTGGCGCGTATCCCCTCGCCGCACAGCTGAGGCGCGCTGCGGGCCCGAGCAGGCCCCGGTGGGGCGCAGGGAACGCCTGGGGGCTAGTTTGGGGGCCTGGAAAAAACCGTATAGATACAGTCTCCTAGAGAACCACGATGAGCCAAGTTATCTGAGAAAAGAGAGGTAAGGCTGCAAGCACCAGTGCCACCTGGCACGTTCGGATGGCGGCTGGGGACGCGGCGCCCGTGGGGAGGCCCCCCGCGGCAGA